TGTGAAATTGTGAAAGCAAAAGCACAGAGGCACGGCAGGACAGAGCTAAGAGGGAATAGCAGATAAATACATCCAAAGGACAATGAAAAAACAGGTAGGGTTAGGGTGAGTTTAAAAAAAAATTCGCAAATAAGAGATTCTGGATTCATAAGAGAGTTTGAGTTTTTCATTACTAAAGAGTTTTAAGAATGGCAATATTTTACGAGGAAGAAATAAAAATAGAGCAACAGTGACCAAAAATATGTTAAAAGCACATCACTTCGCTGTAAATTCAGACGGTCTAAGCTGGTCCAGGTATTTCCAAACATTTCATGTTTTAATTGGCTTCCTAGACAGCTATCTTAGAGTCTACAAGTCACATCCACTTAATCTTGTATTGATTTTCTAAGATGTTTCCTGTTACCATGACTACCCTAATCAATTAACTTCCTGTAAGCAGCAAGACAATTTTCTCTTTCTCTTTTCTTTCCAATGAAGTCTGAGTACTTTATTTGCACAAAAATATCTGATGTTGCCTATTATCTATCAAGGAACTACACTGTGTTGGTAAAAATATTTGATGCTTTTCATTTAAAAAAAAATCTGGATGATGAACATGATGTAGTCTACACTGAAATAAAAATATAATGATGTACACCTTAAATTTATATAATGTTATAAACCAGTGTTACCTAGAAAATAAAGAAAAAAAATGTTTGAAGGTTCTACAAAGTATATAGAATTGTCTTGGACTGATAGCATGAGTGGCTTACCAATTTGTGGTTGCGCTGATAAAAGTTATCCTTGGCTATCATAAAGGTGCCTTTCTCCTGGCCTCCAACACAGGGAACTAGGAGGCTGGCAATCATTCAAGGAGGCCACTCACTGGGAAGAAGAAAATGGTTCTGCCATACAGTGTCAAAAAAAGTGCAAAGCCACAGGCTAGCCATTTGTGACTTCTTTAGTTAGCATTGTACTGTCTATTCCAATAAACACATTTCACCTGCATTAAAATGTGAGGATTTTGGTGTGGGAGAGCAAGTTACTCTAACTTGAGTCTACCTGCTTTTTCTTAGTCACAGCCTGGAGACAATAGAAACAAGATGCAGGAAAGACATTGGTCTTTGGAGTCAGACAACCTAGACTCAAGCCTTGATGTCAGTTGAGAAAATCTGAGTAAGTGTCTTAAGCTCCCTGAAGTTTCATTTCCTGTCTTACAAAATGAGATCAACAGAATTACCTCTGGGGTAGTGTGGAGGTTCTCTAGATCGAACCACACCTTTCTTTGATCCTAGACCATTCTTCTACCCTAGCGATAGTTTCAAGGCAGAGGGGAGACCAGGTCACCTTCCTCTCCCAAACTTATCCATGTCTGCAAAAAACAGGCCAAACCACATAGCATGCCATCCTCCATCTCATAGACCCAGGTCTCAGCCTGCCTTTCCTGGCTCATCTCTGGTCATTCACCTCACTTCATTTCTCACTGTAGCCATATCAAAGCAGATTTATCACTTACTTTCAACACCTTATAGCCGTATGTTTATTCAAAGCACCTCCCCAAAGCTTCTCTGTCCAAAATGCTCTTCCTGTCCTTGTCATTTAGCAACCTCCTGCTCATCTCTCAAGGTCAAAAATATCTTCACAATTACCACCTTTCCGATTGTGCCTGGACCTTCTCCCAAAAGAAACAAGGAGTAATTTTCCCCAGGTGAAACAATCTCATTTTCTGTTTGGCTTCCAATATGAAAAAATATTTTATTTGGCATCTAACATGAATATATTTAGATGCTATTTAACTACTCAGTGAAGTGATTTTAAAAAAATGCAACCTGTGTATCTACAATCTGAGCACTAAAAACAAAATATAATATTATTCAGCTCCCCAAAGTCAATCAGCTTTAAATCTCCGTAGTCTAGGTAGTCACTGAATTGTAAGAAAACCAGCACATGTGCAAAAAAAATGGCACCTGAATAATGAGCTTATTCATATCAATTACTTTGATCATTAATATCATCTGCTAGGTGCAAGATGTATCATTTCTAACATAATCCTTTAAAATTAGTATAAATGAATAGACTGAGATTCAAACAAGTTAAATAATTTGCCCAAGTATTTGATGTGTAGCAGGGTTGTCATCCAAACCCAGGTCTGTCTGCTGCTAAAGCCCATTCTATTTCCACTCTTGCGGCATTGTCTCTCTCTTGAACTTGTACTGTGATCATGGGTGCATCTGATAGCAATGATCTATGTGTCTTTATCCAAGGTGTCAGGTGCTATTTCTAGCCAGGTCACTCAAAATACACTTTTGTTTGAAGAAAAAGGGGTTTGGTATGTACAGAGAGACAGGTTATACAGTCACCTCAAGAGGAAGAGAGATGGGGCCTCTTCAAAACACATATGCATCCCACTAACAATACACATCATTAAAGTAAATTTCCTCTCTGGGACTAGACCCATTGGTAGCCTTTCTTATTTTTGGTTCAACTACCTAGAAAATTTTTTATGATGCCTAAATAAAAGTAGCATATTATAGTATAATTATGGCATGATATAAATTATCACTGAGTTATTAAAAATATTCTCACCTCTTAATTTCCTTGACTGGGTTAATTGGAGCAGGTTTATTATTTCAGTGGTGTTGGTGGTCTTGGTGATGGTGGAAGTTGTGCTTAGTGACCTAAAATTGTGTATATACCTTTACTTCAAACATTTTATGGTCTTATGTTAACCTCAAAAAACGTTTATTCATGCTCTGCATGAAACAGAAGTCAATGTACAATAATATTTCTCAAATGGTAAGTGCAAAGTAAAAGAGAGACTTGATTAGAAAAGTCAGAAAATGTTACTTCAATATAAGACCAAATATGAAATCATGCATTTCACGGTGGAGCATTTTCAGTATACCTTATATTCCTACTCAGAATTACCATTGTTTTTAGATGTAGATATAGACATGGACACAGACATAGATATGCTAGATAAAGAACATTTAAAAAATAAATTTGAAGTGGAGAAAAACATTGAGTTTAAAGCTTAGGAACATGTCAATTTATTCTCAGGAAGAGGTCACCTTCTTTTAAGTAGCTTCCCAACTGGCACGAGAAGGAATTAACACTACTTACTCAGTCTGGATCCCAGGAGAAAGGAAAGGGGACTGATGCATTTATGGGAACTACAGATAAGACAGTCCCCCACATGTAGTCAGCACAGGACCCTGCAGGGCGGGGATCACTTCCCTCTCTAACAGGAGCGCAGAGGTTTAATCTGACTGTAGCTCCTGTTGTGCTGACACTTAGCACTTAAAGACGTTCTGAGACTGGCCATGGCTAATGGAAAAGCTCTCAGATATATCCAAGTTGTCTTTTTTTCCTGCAATGACTTATCACATTACTACTCGAAGTCTCCATAAAATTTGTAAGTTGGCAAATATCAAGGTACTGAGTCTATTGCTGAGGTGGGTTTTTAAGTTTCTTAGGAATAATATGAGTTCTTCAGGCCTTCGTGCAACTAAAGTCCTAGCCTACCCCTACTGCAAAGAGAAAAGGCAGTTAAATAGGGATCCCACATGAAAGAGGCTAGGTTGCCTTTCTGTGTTAAGTAACATTGTTGGTGGTAACACATTTTCTTTACAAAGCGAAGAACACTTTATACACTGCTGGCAATAGGGCAGAATTAGGACCAATTCTCCATGATATACATATTTCCAAATATGTGTTATCTTGTGCACTCTCCCAAACCTTATTAACCGTCTCTATGGAGTTAAAAAAAAGGTGTTGTTCAAGATAAAACAGGAGCAAGGCTGACTCACCAAGAGCAAGTCAGGAAGGCTGCATGAGGAAAAACCTGTGCAGAGAAAAAGGATCAGTGTGTCTTATTCACTCCAGAGGCAAAATCCAAACTGTGAGTTCAATTTGGCTAAGCTGTCCTGCTGCCTGGAGAAGTGGCCCATTTTTAGGGGGTCATCATCCATCAATTTAGATGCCGCTAGACACCGTCAAAAATTACCATGGAGCAGAGATCCGACTAATGTGGCTATTCAACTTTTTTTAAAAAAGTCTAACATCCTGGCCTAATGAATGACATAGATAGAATTCATTATTTTTTTTTAAAGTGATATTTTCAGTGGTAAAAATTATAGAAATTAACCACTGACTTGCAAAGTTCTAAAATGCATGTTGAACATACAGAGAATAAGCACTGAATAACATCATTCCAGTGTTAATTTGTAAACCTTTTTAAAAAGGTTAAATTTATTACATAAATACTGTATACAAAGTAGTATGAAGCAAAGTAGAGAGAGAGCAGAAGAAGGACATCCTAAAAGTTAAAAAAAAATCGTCATTGGTAGGTTTATGACATGCCCCTAAATAGCAGGTTTTCCCAACCAGTTAAATGTCATTCACAGGAAGATACACCATTCCTATACAGATTCCATGTGACAGCCCTTCCACCACAAAACAAAAAAAAGAAAGAAAAAGAACACCAAAAACCCCAATTAAGTCTAGAGAAGTAATTCAAAACAGTCATTCTGTACCTTAGAGATGGAAAAAAATATTGATTGACTTTCCAATAGTTTTTTAGGCAACATAAGAGTTTTGTTGCCCATCATATCCCAAATTCACCAAGTTAAATGGAATAATGAAGCAAATATTTAATTAATTAATATCCACAGGAAAGGAAAGAGAAACAAAAGCTAGACTAAATAGCTAGTAAGCAAAATCCAAAAGGTGTTGCTTGTTCTGATTATCAAGATAAAAATCTCAGGTCGTAACCCATATTTATCTTTAGACATAGTGAGGGCTTGTGTCAAGGATCACAAACTCCCGACTATTAAAAGGCCGACATCCTCAGTTTTTCTTCTATAATCTTTGTTCATTTAGTGTTTTAGTGGATGTGCTTGAAAATTGTTAAAAACTTTTGTTTTTATCATCCTTTAAGCAGATATTTGCTTTTCTAACACATTAGATAAGAGAAGTCAAACATGGGAGACCAAGAAACTGGGTAATTTGTAAACCTTTACCTGGAGGCCTTCAATAGCCAATCGTAGCATGCTTGGGGTAAGTTTAGAAGCTTGCTTGAAGGTGAAGTTACTCCAGTCTATGATCAAAACAAATCCATTCACTTGAAGCTCGGGATCTTCAATCATGGCTTCTAAAGAAAGTAAGATGGCACGCAAAATATCCACCAGTGTGTACCTACCAGCAACAGAAAAGTACTGCATTAAATCTGACAACCACTTTTGTAGAAACTATAGATAGTTTTCAGCACTAAAATTCCCTTTACAAAACCTCAGGAGTCTTAAGGAGATGATTTTGTTTAAAAATTTTTTTAAAAAAGAGGTTTACTTTATATGTACTCAGAAGACATATTAGAATTTAACATGCGTGTACTTTACCAAAACGAACTACAGAGTACACAGTTTGTTTCATATTTTACAACCATTTCCTTTACCTCTAGGTCTTCCTATGATTTTTCTCAAGCCTCACATCAATTACCCTAAAAACTAGGCGTGGTAGTTTTAAATACCTCAAGAATGCTTTCAGTAATGCTGACATTTCATATCTTCATATTTGAGAACGAGTTTTGAAGGAGTGAATTCGATAAACAAAAACACTATATGTGAACAGCTCTGGTTAGGAATGTCAACAGACTTTAAATACTTATATTGGGTTTGTATCATAAAAATAAAAGAAAGAAGAAAATGTGAGACATACAGAAAGAAAGGGAGACGAATGAAAACAAAAGGGAAAATTTACCTATTACAACGCAGGCCATCCAAATTTAGGGGTTGAGACTTCATCTTTTTCTACTTGTTCCTTAGCACAGTGCCTGGCATGTTGTAGAAACCCAATAAATGCTCCTTACATTCCTGTAAAATGGACTAGACTAGAGTGCAAAGACACTAACTGTAGGTTAAAACACTGCCCAAGCGAAAGCAGTGGAAGTAAGAATGAAGATGAGAAGACAAATTTGTGAAGGATTTCAGAGCTAAACTTGTTAAAATTTGATATTTATCTAGATGTTGGGACTAAGATTGAAGAAAGAGTAAAGAACGACACACAGATTCTAGCTTCAGAGCCTGAGTAAATGGTAAAATCTTTAATCAAAATCAGTAATGCAAAAGGAGGATACAGTTGGGGACGGCTGGAAATGTAGAGTTTGTAGTACACCCAGAAAGAGATACAAAGTAAACATTTGAAAAAGTCGATCCTAAATTCAGACAGAGGTCAAGCTCAAAAATGCCGAAATCAAAAGCATACAGATCCTATGTTCAAAGAAGTGAAGGAAATAACGCAGTCAGAACTGAAGGAAAATGAGATAATTATTCTAAGAAGGGAATGCCAGCATTCTAAGAAGACTCGGCAAATTTATGGAAGATGTTAACAATTTCAATTTTGGGGCAGCCTGCATTTCAAGTTTTTTTCTCCTCAGATATTCAGGTGGAGAGGTCCAGAAAAAGCTAGACAAAAAATTCCTGACCTCAGGGAAGAGGTGGGATGGGGAGGGTGGTGGATAAAGAGTAGAAAGCACTGGCATTGAGAGGAAGTGACGGGCTCACCAGGAAGACAGTAGGAGACAGTGAGTACATATGAGGGAGTAGTTCTATTTTTAATTTTAAAAACATTTGGAGGCGAATAGAGAAAACATAGTAGTTCAGAAAGGAAGGAATAATTAACAGCGAAACTTAAGCCAATTTCTCACTTTCTCTGGGCCCCATTTTCTCATCTGCAAGATCAGTAGTTTGAAGAGAATCTCTTTAGGATCCCAGCATTAATCAAGCCTGGGGCATGGTGTCAGAAGACTCCATGATGGAATCTCTGCCCTCCCTCATTAGCTGTGCAACTGTGGACATGTCGTTGATTTATAATTCCAAGGATCAGCTCTCTTGTATGAAAAAATAGAAATACCTATGATTATCTCACTGGCAGTGGTGGAGGTTGGGGCAGGGGTCGGGGGCAGGAAGAGAATTCAATTCAAAGACAGTATCTAAGTGAAAATATTTGAATAATGCCAGGTATACAGCAGGTGTTCAGTAAATGGTGGTTAGAATACACACATAGCATATGTTTTGTTGTAATGGTAACCATAGACATAATGTACTAGGTAAGGTATAATCAGAACTGAAGAATATTGTTTGTACGTTTTACTTAAAAGGTTAATGATAGGCATTAGATAGTTCATTACTAGTGGAAAAGGCAAGGGTCAAGAGATTATTTTTTAAATTTCTGGAAGGTTTACAGGCTATTTATAGACCTAAGAATGTGGCATCCCAAAATACTTCCTGAATACATAATAAGATCTTTTAAGAAGATAACAAAACTTTTTGTAGAGCTCTATTTCTTATTTGTCTTTAGATCTGTGATACGTGTATGACTGAATACCTTTATCTGTCACTTCGGCGTTGGCCTACCTTCTTTTTAAACATAATGCGCTAATACAGTGTTATGACCAAAAGCCTATAAACCTACAAAGACTGGAAAGTTGGAGCAGCAAGGCTGTATCTCTGGTTAAAATTTAGACTCCCCCTCAAAAAATATTCATTTTAATTTCTGAAATTCATAATAATATCATGGGAAAGAAAATTAAAAATTAGAAAAGGCCAACTTAGAACATTCCTCTCATTATACTCATTCTTGTGGTACCTTTAAGAATACCAAATAGCATTAATACTAAAATAGCATTAAGTAAAACTTGAATCTGAAATCGGCTTTGGAAGGATGATGTATTGTACACAGTAAGAATAAACCATGGCACCAGTAAAAGCTGAAAATAAGAGGCAATTTGTTTTAATTAACACACTTTAAGTATGGTTTTCAAAAACTGTGTCCAAATCAAGAGAAAAATTTATATATATATATATATTTTTTTCCAAGAATAAAATAAGAATAAAAGAATAAAATAAGGCCAATCCCAGGATCATCAATGAACAAAAAAAGGTTTGCAAAGTTTTCAAGAGTAAATCTAACCAAGTTTTTTATTTAATATCTTGTTCTAAGAAGAGAACTAAATGATCTTTATATAAATCACATTAATGTATAAGTTTAAGAAAAGAAACATAAAAACATCCTAGCTAACCACATTCAAAGGGCAGGTCAAAACCATTCTCAACACTCAAGTCCTCTGTTGTCAAACATGTCACATTACCACCATTAGCAGCTCAGCGGGCTATTCCTAAGCCGAACACTATTACGTGAGACTTTGCCAAAGTCTGTAAAATATCTTTCAAAGAAAAGGAACTTTTCATGAACTTTATATCTTAAGGAATCCTACCTTCACTCCTCTTTGAAATTATTTCTAACTGTTATAATCTACAAATTAGAGTTCACTACAATAAGTATTACACAAATCCGTGTTTGGGGTTTACACCGCAATTGTAGGAGCTCCACCATTGCTATTCTTCCCTTGTATGTTGGAAGAAAGCCATAAATAACAAACTAGCACATTAATGCAGCTCTTGACTCCAGCTCGTGCTTCCCAAAATAGCATCAAGTAAAGCCCGAATCTGTAATCAGCTCGGAGAAGATGATGCATAGCATGGAGTAAGAAGGAACAATAACACTAGTGAGGAATTTCACAAGTGGGACACCAGGTTACGTAGACCATTGCTCTTGAAAGAAATCAGAGCTGCCATAACTTGTAAAAACCACATGGAGAAGACTTTGATACCCATATGTCCTATTTACTACCCGTGCAATCAAGAGCAGGGAAGCTTCTTCTGGCTAGGTAAGGATTTTCGGGGTTACCCGGCCTGTGCTTCTCTCCTGGGGTTCACAGCATCTCATCCTCTACCACAATTTACAATCAGTGCAGAGGAACTGAAATCACAAACAGATCATTTTCTTCCTACCTTCTAACCCTTTCTTTCAGCCTGACAGGGAAGAACTGGCATCTTGGCATCACATTGAGCAGCACAACAGCAGGAAATCTCCCTTTGTCACTAAATCAATCAGCCATTATTAAATTCTTCATTAAGGCTGTCCCCGCCCCTCAGTTTTCATTGTCAAGTTTTCTAACGTCTGAAGCACTTCCTGTCAGAAAGGTGCTAGGGGGAGTGATGAAGGAAAAGAATTACCTTTACTAAAGCTTCAGGGTATCGTTAACGATAAAGCTGATGAGCACATCTAGGTGTTTTATATTACTGAGTGGTCCTAATAATAAAACCTCTATCTATGTAATCAGTTAAGATCTCCAAAGCAATTTCAAATGCATTATCTTAATCCCAAAACAAGCCCATAGTCTCTGTGCTGACTTTGTTCCTATTACTTTGGAGATGAGGACAAAGATGAGGTCTGAGAATTTTAGAGATGAAGACTCAGGGTCTCAGAGAATTTAAACAGTTTGCCCAGAATCACCAGTGGAGTAAAGCAGGGAGCCTAGATGAGAAGTCGAGTCTTTCTCTCCATTCCCTATGGTGCCTTATACTTAGAACAGAGTTTGATGAATAGCTGTTCTGTTTTTTCATGTCTCAGTGGCATAACGTGTGTCACAAGATAGATCAGGAAATCAATACCAACATGGCGCCACGCCAGGTACCAGGGCACAGTCCAGCCTGGCCCCAGCAGGGGCTTTAGTGAAGGAAAAGCAACAAGACATTCATAAGAGTCAAGACGGGAAGAGGTAAAGTCTACAAATCCTAGAGAAAATATGAACTCCGGAACATCCATCTGTCTGGCTTGTATCCCTGAGCAAAGAAGATGAGCTGTCTGAGCGAGGCTGTGGGAATGTAGGTGAGTGAAGACAAGAGAATCATCAGAAATGAAACACCTAGAGGAAAAATGTCTTTCTTTGAAAAAAGAAAAAAGTGCACCTACTACCACCAAAATAAAATAAAACAAAACAGAACTGTGCTAGAAAAATATAAATGTATCAGAAAGGCAACTCTTCTTTTCAGGGCAGAATACTCAAAGCCAAGTGTTGGCCTACTACAGTCTTTGCCTTCAGAAGATTTATTCTAGCAACTTAACTTTCCGTTTTTAACTGTCTGTACTCTGATGTTTAATCAAGATTTTCTAAACTATAGATGGAATTCTTTTCATTATCAGAGCTTGATTTTTCAATAGAATTGTATTTAATTGTTTTTCCCTAGACTTATGTTGGTAACTGTCTATACACACAAAAAAAGTTTGACCAACTCACTTACTAGTTGTATGGTCATTGGTGAAATACTTAACCGCACTGTGCTTCCATTTCATCA